TTTTAAACAAATTTCTTATTTATTTATATAACATTTATATTTTATGCAAACTTATAAAATATATTAATAATTGAATTTTCTTCTAATCGTTTAATATAATAATTAATATCTATTCAATAACATTTTATTCGCGTATTCGACATATCAAGACATTGGGGGTGCTGGAAAACAATTTTGCCGCGTCGCACGAGCGCGCGAAGTTGGCCGCAAATCACGTGATTGGTTCAAATTAGTTACACATTTCTCGCGAGTCAAACGGCATCGGTACACGTACTGCGCAGCAGGATCGCAATCGCTCCGCATTTTCGCGCTTTTTTACTCGTCTCGGGTGAATTCCGCGCACGAATGAGAATCAGAAGTGTCGAGTTTAACGATGGGCGATCATTTTGTCGTATCAGTCAACCCGCACGGCTGCGAATGACCGCGTCTTTCGGTGTATGCGTGATCAACGGCTGTCGCCGTCCGTTTTGTTCGTCTTCGCTTGTCAAGAGCTCATCCGACGAGCGTGATGAGGGCGGTTAGGATGGTGAGGACGATTTTCATCATTCAGGACGTGAGAGAGTATCGTCGTGATCGAAGAACGTCGAGTGGAGCATCGCGAGGGATCGTTGTTGTGGCGAATTAGTCGGAACCGGTGATCGCGATCGTCCGCGAATTGCGCGAGGGATCCATCCGCCATTTTGACGTGTTTCCTGAATTTTAGCGTTTACGCGGGAAATATCGGGAGTACTGAGTAAATCTAGGCGCGAACGCGCGTAGTCAATCCTCGATCGATGTCGATCACTCTCTGTCGCATCGTATCGAATTGACGTGCGGATTTGTACCACGGACAGGTCATATAATCCCGCATTTCGCATTATTATTCAGGAGTGTGAATGGAAGTATATCGCCGGTGAATTCAGGAACATTGAGGAGCGTCGAGGGAATGGGCATAATGAATCAACTGAGAGAGATGACAGCAACTCATTGGTGTTTCGGTAAGTGATTATTCCTTGACTATTATTGTACTATATTACTACTGCTCAGTTCTGTTACTCATTAGTTAATTTTCTATTATTTCCAGTGAAAGTATGTCGCCGGTGTATCCAGGAACATTGTGAAGCGTCGAGGAAATGGACATAATGAATCAACCGGGAGAGGCAACTGCTGCTGATTTGCGTTTTGGTAACTAATTATTGCTTGTCTATTATTAATTATTGCTCGATTTTTATTAGTTAATTTTCTCGAGTTTTAATTATTTAATTTTTCTCCTATTAAATATTCTTTTAGATATGAATATATATAATATATTAGAAACAATTAGAAGAGCATAGTGGTAGCAACTGTAAAGATAACAGCTATATAAATTTTATGTCTGTATAGAATTAATGTATGTTTGAAAACATTATTTTACACTTTGCAGTAATTAAAAAATTGGCAAAAAAAAAATAGTTTTGCTAAAGTTTTGCTGAAGAAAAATTTAATTAGAAATATATGTAAAAATAATTTGGGTTCGAACCATTAAAATAATTATATTTAAACTAGTTATTGGAATATTAAAAACTTTTTTTATCATCGAACGTTTAAGCGTTCTACATAATTATTTTGATGTATCAATAAAATTATCAGATCTATTTGGCTAAACTTTTAAATACTTCAGCAAAACTTTTCGTATATATATTAAATCTACATATAAAACGTCCACCTACAGTTGTAACTTTTATAGCTGCTACTACTATGTCTTGTCTCTGAATAAAGAGATACGAAAACAATATTTTCTTATCGACTTTGAGTTCTTTCTTTCTGTAGTTGACATACATAAGTGATAAAATAAAATTCCTTCAAATATTTAAATACGAAAAAAACGGTTTTACAGAAATATTTAAAAATTTAACTAAATACAGATCTGAAAAAAATTTTATGGGATCAAAATAATAATGGAAAATGTTCAAGCTAGTTGCTAAAATGTCTACATTTTTTATAGGATTGCTCGTTTCAGTTTTCTACTTAATTATTTTGATGATTCAACAAAAACATTTTCAAATCTGTCTTCAGCTGAATTTTTAAACACTTCAGCAAAATCGTTCTTTCGTGTAATAAATAATAAAAAAAGAGTTAAAAAAGTAAGCGCGATGAATAATATTTTTAAGATCGCTCTACAAAATCGGTATATGAAAGGCGGTCAGAGGATTCGCTGGTGTAACTTTTACGAAATATACGTTGAATGACGTAAGATTAAGAAGTCGTTAAGCAAATTGAATTCACGGCCTGTCGCGTTTTCGATTCTTTAATAATAGTTCCGGTAATTGATATTGCAAGGGGCAAATTCGGGCTGGTCGCCATCAATCCTGATGGCTAGTCTGAATAGCGGCAATCAAGTTCCGCAAATTCGGAATAGACGAAATCACTCGTACGTTCCTAGACGTGTTATACGGGCGTGCAACGCGCCACATCGGATCGATCGTGCGCGCATTTACACGAAAATTGTCCGATTGCCGCTCTTGGCTTCTCGGTTCGTACCGAGTTCTCGCGCTTCTGAGACAATACGAAACTGTCGACCGGATGTCTCGGTCATATACGACATATGCGACGGTCAGTCGAAGGAAGTCAATGAGAAGTAAGAAACATCTCGATATCGTTGAGACGAGAACAAGCCAAAACAAATAACGAAATCTTACAAGGGATTACCTATAGTGTTTACTACTCAGAAAAATTTGGTTCTTTTTTTTATCTTTGAAAATGAGAGTTTTTTTCGAGGAATTGTATTGTTATTGTCTCAGATTAAATTTTACTTTTAAATTCTATTTTTTTCTGCTACTTTAATAATTTTTCTTGATAATATAAAATGTTAATAATAAATTACATCCAGAGAAAGATTTCTTCGATTAAAAAAAAAATGTTTTTTGCTGTACGGCTGTAAAGACAAAATTTCTTAGATTTGAACATAATTTTTTTAAATCAAATTTTTTTATTTGATTTTAAAAAATAATGTTTAAATAAAAAAAATGACGTTCAAATCAAAGAAATTTTTTTCTTTAATTATCTAGCAAAGAAACATTTCTTTGAATTGAAGAAACTTTTCTCTGGGTATAGCAATAAGTACAGCATATATAATACATCCGCACACTTTCGTGTGTTTTGTGAACTTTTATTAAAAAATATCAAGTTGACAACAGAAGACAGTGAACAGAATAGAGTAGTTGATAGTGTTGATACTATTTTATAATAAATATTTCTTATACTACTTCTATGTAGGTTTTGCTGCTCTAATTAGAGAAAAAGATGGATATAGTTTTGTGGAAATTCTATCTTCTGCTAATTTTCAATGCGTATAGTTTATTTGCACTTTAATTCTCTAATCTTATCTGAAATTTTGAACAAGATATCTGAAAAATCTGGGAATTTTCAGGGAATTTTAAACACTCTGTTATCTCTTACCATGAGCTACGTAAAAAATTCTATTTAGAATGCAAGTCGAGCAATCTTCGAATTTTACCTGAATCTTTTAAACAGCAAGAGAATTAAATTACCTTGTTCGTAAAATTGCAAGTTACTAAAAATTTAAAACGTTAGCGTCCCTGAATTGCTGTTCAATAAGAAATACGATTCCTAAGAGATTCGTTCTGTCCTGCGACTGTTGGTTCTTAAAAATGCAATGAAGAAGAAACTGGAATGTTTGCAACAAGAATAAAATTAATTTACGAATAAAACCGTTTGTGTAGATTACGAGCGCAATCTTTTTTGGCGTGACGGCTTGATTAAACTTGTAATTGTGTGTAATCGCGAAACTCGACGGTAATCAAAATTTTCAGATTCGTGTGGTTTTCTTTATGGTAGAGGAATTCATGTATTCGTAACGCAATGTTACATTCATGTATTACGTAAACGTGCTCGACCACCGCCAGTTTAAGCGTGTTTAAGGGAAGTGGATAGAAGCTCAAGCTACCATGTTACTATATTCACGAGGATATTACATCGTGCTAGTACACGCCGTTTTGCGTATCGCGGTACTTCATGCTCTCATTTTATCCGAGCAACTGATGTTCCATCCGATTTTTCGCGTAGGCAAAGAAATCGCGTTATCGCTGTTTATGACACGAGTAACACAAGATAATAAACATCGTATTCTTATAAAATAATGAAAATTACAAATATCTTGTAGCAAAATGATTGTATACTGCACCTCTGTAAGAAAAGTTACACAAGTCAAAATTTTTTGAATTTTATATTATGTACGGACTGCGTTCCAAATTAGCTTTTAATAAAAAAAAGTAATACAAATTGAATTTATACTTAAAAAAAAATGACAGGAGAAAAATGACACAGATAAAGATAAGTTTTTAGGGGTAACATTACACTATAACAAAATTAATATCTACATTATAATTTTAGAGAACTTGAAACAAGCAATTTGTGATTAGCTCCAAGTTATGTTTAATATTGTCATATTTAATCTTAAAATACGCAATTTTCTTTCTCTTTTCAATAATTTTTACGTGTCACTTTTTTGCGGAAATACGATATATTAATTTTTTTTAAATAATACATTAAATACTAAAGCAATATAACTTCGTGCGTAGGTTTGAAATAAAAGAATTATTAATTACAAAGATATGTCCTAATTGGATTCCCGGCAGAGAAGCAATAGTTTTATAACTGGAAGAAGTAGTAACTAAGTCCAAGTCTCCGAAGACTACATAACGCAGTCTAGACGTGTACTAATTAAATTTAATTCTCAGGGGGAACGACAATAGACTTTGCTT